ATTCCTGTGCTCCAGTCAGACCACTGTAACACTAAAGAGTAAATGCTAATGTCAACAGCCTATGAAAAAGGATGTGAGAGAAGGGCACATAAGTAGGTGTGGCCAGACTTGCCTACAGGAAGCCCCCGACTTGCGACGTTATTGGTTCTGGAGGAAGCATCACAAGTTGGGGGCATCGTAACTCAAACCCACATTTATGGTAGGCGCTGTGCACCATCGTAAATGCAGACCGAGGATGTAAGTTGGGGGTTTCTGGCCCCTTCTGCGCTTACAGAAATGGTTGAAAGTGCAGGGGCTTGGAAGTCGAGTGCTGGCATCTTGGGGGCCTCCTGTATTTGATAGCTGCTAGTGGCCAAATAAAAGTTTCAAGCAGTCTGAACCTCAGAATGATTCTTAACTCTTAATATTTTTGCTGCAGTGATAACTCTTCTCTCCCGTTTTGTCCTTTTATAGGACATATCACCATTACAAACTACTTGTTGAACTATTTTCCTGGTCTTGATATTGAGAAGAGGAATGTATTTGGATACACAGCACTGATGAAATCTGCAATGCAAGGCCGAACTGAATGTGTCAGAGCCTTAATGTTGGCAGGTACATGAAATTCTTTGCTTCATCATTACTTCTTGCTGTGAATAAGATAGCAGTAAATCTATAAAAAGCCGGCCTTTCCAATATTTACTTTATTGAGAGGCATGATGGAGCTATTAATGCAAATGAAAACAGTTTCTGGATGTCTTGTAAATAGAGAAGTGAGCAGTTTTATTTATTTATTGTTGTTGTTGTTGCTGTTGTTACAATAGTACTTTACACTGCTATTGAATTTCCAGCTGAGCATCTCAAAGGAAATTACAAGCCTATGGTCTTTCAATGCCTCAGTACACCCCATTAACACAGTTTGTTTAGGCTTGCATCATCCATGAGAAGTAAATAAATATTATTATCCATATTTTTTCAGAAGGGGAAACCGAGGCATAGAAGTTTAAATGACTTGTTCAAGGTCACACTGCAAGTCTGAGACAAAATAAGGAACAAAATACAGATCCCATATGACTATGCTTTAACCAAGAGGCTATCTATCTTATAATATTAGAAGAGCAGAATACAGTCTTTTTTTCTTTTTAATCTTGATAAAATGTGGGGTCAGATACATTGCTACAAAATTGGGCTTAGGTCCACTGTAAAGATTTCAAAAACCTGGGATGATTTCTTACTCTATTAGAAAACCCACTAGTTTTGATGAGATACTGAGTAAGTTTCATTACAAACATTTCACACAGCTCAAATATTATGAATATGATACAGTATTAAAATATGATGTGATAACTATGTTTACATCCAGAATTACAAAGCTACTTACTGTTAAATAATAAGACACAGTAAGCTGTGCATGGTAATTAGATATAATTCCCTCTTAGGGTATGGCTACACAGCAAAGAAAATCCCACAGCTGGCCTTAGAAGCTAACTTGGACTTGCAGGGCCAGAGGGCTGTTTAATTGCCATGAAAACTTCCAGGCTTGGGATTGAACTCAGGCTCTGGGATCCTCTGACCCCACAGGGGTCTGGAGGCTTACACAGCAGTGAAACAGCTGCATAGCCTGAGCCCTGCAAACCTGAGTCTACAGCCAGCACATGTATGGTACGTCTAGACTACAAGCCTCTTTCGAAAGAAATTGTCTAGACAGCCATGTGACTTTCGAAAAAGCGATGCGCTTTTTCAAAAGAGAGCACCCAGGCAATCTGGACACTCTCTTTCGAAAAAAGGCATTCTTCCTCGTAAAATGAGGTTTACTGCTGTTGAAAAAAACTGCTGCATTCTTTCAAATTAATTTCGAAAGAACATAACGGCAGTCTAGACACAGATGATGTTTTTTTTAAAAAAGGCTACTTTTTTGGGAAAAAAAACCTGTAGTCTAGACATAGCCGTAGACTGTGTAAACATATTCATTGGCAGTGTTGCTCTGTCATTATACAGTGGATCACTTGAAAAACTAAATAAAATGAAAGCCCTGCATCCCTTGTGCATCTGAGTACATATAGCCTAGTGTCATTAAACAACATGTATAGAATGGCTGCCATGTTCTTTTGTGAAGGCTTGGGCTCTACAGTGTATATTTCAGAGAAGGGGGAAGCACTTTGCTTGATGCTCCTATTATACTGCCATCAACTGATGAATAAAAGAAAATATATTGTTATAGCTACTTAATTACAAATTGCAAATTTGGAATTATTACATTTGGCATGGATTTTGAAGTATGATTTATTTATTACAAGACTTATTTAATTTGTTCATTTGCTGTTATTATTATGGTCTGGCAGCACTACAATAGTTAAGGTTGCAGTGGCATCTGTTTAAAGGTGGACCTTTCTAAATTCTATACAATCGGCGTGCTTAGTCAGAAAAATACTTTCTCTCAAACATAAAATGGTCAGTATTTTATAGCAGAAACCCTCTCTGCGATTTCTCTTCCTGGCTCTGCCACCAATTCCACCCTCTAACCATTCAGAAATGTGACCAGAAATACCATTCTCATGTTATATAGTTGGCCTTCACTCCTGTTATGGCAAGTGAACAATGGGGAGAGGGAATAACAACAATAGAAATATTTGTGTGCCAGGGAGTGAACATTGCAAAGAGTGTGTGTGTTGTATGTAAAGGGAACTGGTAAGCATCAGCCTTACTGGCATACTTATCTGGGTAACTGGTTAACCAGCAGCCTGGGTGGGCCAGAGTAGCCCCCCACTCATGGCACGGTGCAGCAGGCCCAGCCTGGCCCAAGCAGCCCCCGCCTAGACACAGTGGGCTCAGCCCAGCCAGTCCAGAGCAGCCCATAGCACAGCAGCCCGGCCAGGCTGGAGCAGCCTTCCCCCACCTATTTGATTCCGAATAACCAATTAAACATAATGTTTAACCATTTAACTTTTTAAACAGGATTTTACATCCCTACTCAATATGCAAGTCACAGGACAAGATGTGTACAACTGTCCAAATTACCACTAACTTCTACTAAAACCACACGTTTTCCGGTTAAATCTACAAAATTCAGTGTCAAAGAACTATTAACACAGAGTTAAGCTGGCTTGGCTAGATGTTGTTACGCCCATGTCCTTTCAGCAGTGCCCCAATACACCCCACTAGCACAAATACCTTTATTCTGCCAGTCTCACTTTGCTGAAAGTACAAGCCCTTCTCTTCTTGTTACAGCCCTGACACTTTCACCCACCAGGGTTCCAGCTAACATTATTGAAGGCCATGAAGTTTGCACACGCCACTTTCCAGGGTATGTCTACACTACCCCGCTAGTTCGAACTAGCGGGGGTAATATAGTCATCCTCAGTTGCAAATGAAGCCCGGGATTTGAATTTCCTGGGCTTCATTTGCATGAAGCCAGCCAGCGCCATTTTTAAATGCCAGCTGGTTTGAACCCCATGCCGCGCGGCTACACGCGGCACGGAGTAGCTAGTTCGGATTAGGCTTCTAGCTGTATGCCTTGTGGAACGAGGTGTACAGCTAGTTCGGATTAGAAGCCTAATCCGAACTAGCTACTCCGTGCCGCGTGTAGCCGCGCGGCATGGGGTTCAAACCAGCTGGCATTTAAAAATGGCGCTGGCTGGCTTCATGCAAATGAAGCCCAGGAAATTCAAATCCCGGGCTTCATTTGCAACTGAGGATGACTATATTACCCCCGCTAGTTCGAACTAGCGGGGTAGTGTAGACATACCCTCCGAGTAATGCCTCTGGGTGTCTAAACTCACTCTGGATCTTGGCACTATACAGTTTAAGTCCTGGTATGCAGTCACACACTTAGCCAGCTCCCCAAAAAAGAACATAACACATATACTATTTAAGAACCACTTCACACCTTTTATAGCCCTTTACCCACGGGGTAAACTGTCAAGTATTTTGGAGCAGAAACCCTCTCTGTGATTTCCCTTCCTGGCCCTGCCCCCAGCTCCATCCCCTAACCATTCAGAACCGTGACCAGAAACAACATTATATAGTTGGCCTTCACTCCTGGAACGGCATGTGAGCCAGGTTGGATGGGGGAAGAGGAATAACCACAACAGAAATATTTGTATGTCTGCATTTGAGCTGTGAGGTGTGATTCACAGCTCATGTAGACCTCACACTAATGTGCTATAAACATCTGTGTAGAAGGGGTTGCATGGGCAGTGGCTTGGGCTAGCTGCCCAAGTCCACATGGCCCCCCTGGGTACACACTGGATGGCCAGCCTATGCCACTGCTCATGCTACCCTGACTATATCGATATGTTTAACATGCTAGCTTGAGCAGAGGTATCATGGGTACATCTATGCCAGTGTTTCTCAAAGTCATCTGCAGACCCACTCTGAGAAAACTGCTGCCGGGCTGCCCCGGTTTGTTTAGTTACCAGCTCCACCACCACAGAGCCATTTGCAGCCATTAGGAATAACGGGAAACAGCGTGACCTAGTCTGTGCCACTTCCCACAGCTCCCTTGCATAGAAACAGTGAACCACGGCCCATGGGAGCTGCGCGGCTCCATGGCTGTGGAGCCGGTAAGCAAACAAACCAGAATGTCCCGGTAGCAGCTTTCTCAGAGTGGGTTTGTGGACCATTTTGAGAAACACTGATCTATGTGGACTTGGAATCACACTCCCATCTCAAATACAGGTGTCCCATATGTCCCATTGTCTGGAGTGGCTCAAGAGTGTGAGTGCCAATTTCAGGGCAGACTGTCAGAAAACAGGGCAGATCCCCACCAAAACTGGGGCTGTCAGATTTCACCAAGCCAGTAACAAATGTTACTGGATCACTATCACAGGCTGCTTACGAAGTCACAGACTCCATGACCATGACCCTTAGGCTCTCCTTGACCCTTAGGCTCTTCAGTCTATCTTGACACCCAGGTAAGTTGGACTTAAAATAAATTGTCACTTATACAAGACATCACAGACTATTCAGGTCACTTCCAGTCCCAAGAAACCGTCACTTACCCCAGGTCAATTGGTACTCTAGATCTACACCCAAGACAACACATGTAGCCAGTCCTGTAATGAACTATCTAAAGGTTTATTAACTAGGAAAACAAAATGAGAGATATTTACAGACTAAAGCAAGAAAACATATACATGTAAATGAGTTATTACCTATAGCATGAGAGTTATAGTGTTGTAGTAATTTGCCAGTTCAAAGTGTCTTTCAGGGTATACCAGGAGATAATCTCTGGAGATCTCTGGCTTCAGTGTGTTTCTTCTAGCCCTGTCAGAGTTCAAACAACAAAGAGATGGAAAATGTTCCTGTGATTCATTAAGTCAGATGAAGCATAGTTGGGTTATCTACCATGTTGTTAATGTTGAAAATGTGCAGTATGTTAGGAATAAACTCGAGTTATTAAGTTAGTAGGGATACAAGAGTGCAGGGGAAAGCTAATGATTTGCTACTTCAACTTGGCATTTCCATACTCTCCATCAATAGATTTTTTAAGAGTAGTTTTAAAGTAGCTTATGTTAAAGGAGCATTGAAGTTTTCAAATATTTGAAAGCCAGGAAGTGTTAAGGTCTTCCTCTGAACCTCCCACCCCATATACCCTTAAATTATTGAAATGCATTTACAATATTAGTTTCAGCATTGTGAGGTTTTTAGATGGGCAATTTCATCTGTGCTCAGACATAGTGCATTGTAAATCCTGTAGCTTGATAGTCATACTGAATAGTACGCAAGTAAGTCATCAGAAAACAAATATAAGCAATTTTGTGATGGCATTCTTCAAAGCCATGGATTCCATGATTTTCCATTGTTTGCTTTATTATCATTATAACTTTTCCTTTCCTCTCTGCCCCAAAGAACTAAAATGATATTATTGCTTCAGAGGACGTTGCAGGTGTGGTGAAATACTCTCTATGGGCATCTGCCAACCAGCACCTGCAGCCGTCTCCCTCTATATAAGGCCAAGATGCCTTCCCTTAATCTCAACTGAGCAGCAAGAAATCATTCCACATGCCTTGGACCCTGCTCCCTCTTAAAGGATTCTGAGACAGCAAACCTTATAATGACGATAAAATCAAAGCACTATGGATTAGTTTTTGCAGTAAAACATGACCAGAAGGTGTTTACTATGCACATGTCTTGGTGACCTCTTTAGAGTATTATTACTTGTGACACCGACAATGTAAGAGCTCAGTACTGGAGACTAACCACGTTTCCAACATGCTGTAGTGATGGGTATAACCATTGCAGGGGGGAAACTGTAGAGGAAAATGTGGTGATTGATTGGAGCCTGATTTTCAGAGAGACTGTTCTTTCTAAAAGTCAGGATGTTCAGGTTGGAAACCAAAATTCGGAGGCAACCACAGTCATTAGTCACTTTGGACAGTCTTGGCCATAAAGTTTAATCTTTAAAAATGTGAATGTACTTCTAGGAATGCAAAATTAATATTAAAGCAGGTTAATTACTATTCTGAAGTTACTTTGATTGGGCTGCCACACTGCCAGGGTCACAAACGATATTGCTTTTCAGCAAGACAACCACCTCCAGCAGAAGACAGTACAGAAGTGCCAATTGTGATTAGCACTCATTTACACCAAAGTCACTACAGTGAAATCATTGGACCGGCTGTGGATTTACACTAGTATAACTGAAAGCAGAATCTAGACCTTAAATAATATACTAAGAAAGCATTGCCTGGCTGAGACCTTCAGAATTGATCTGACTAGAGTTCTATTTACACTAGTACTCTCATCTTGCTAAACTGAGCAAAATGGGTGCAGTTTTCCTTGAGGATGCCATTTAATTAAAGTTCTGATGCTACTTTATTCAGTGGGGATGATATTTTTTAAAAGAGATGAATATTTAACCAGAGTTTTAGGTCCTACTTCTTATTAACAGACTTGCATACACTGAGAAGAAACACATAGGGTTTGGGGGGAGGGGTTTCTGTCACTAATCAGATAGGATAAAGGAGCAATGCAGGAAATGTGAAACTTACAACTGGATTTTAATAAAACAACTTCATAGTACGTTGGCCATTTTTTATTTAGGGGTCTGAAATTCTGATTAATTGGAACTCTGATGCTTTGGCGGCCTAGCAGAAACACAGCAGCAGTGATGTTAATTTGGTGGATAATAATCTCATGAGACATGAAACCTCATTAATTGACTAGAATATTAATATCCCAAAGTGCCACATCTACTCAAATTAGTTGCTTGAAAAACAGGATTTGGGGCATGATTTAATCTCAGGAAAATGAGGACTAAGGGCACTACACACATTTTCTAAAAGGGTATGTCTACACTACCACCCTAGTTCGAACTAGGGTGGTTAATGTAGTCATACGAACTTGCAAATGAAGCCCGGGATTTGAATTTCCCGGGCTTCATTTGCATGTTGCCGGTCGCCGCCATTTTTAAATGTCCGCTAGTGCGGACTCCGTGCCCGCGGCTATATGCGGCACGAACTGGATAGTTTGGATTAGGCTTCCTATTCGTGGAACGAGGCGTACAGATAGTTCGGAATAGGAAGCCTAATCCGAACTATCTAGTTCATGCCGCGTGTAGCCGCGGGCACGGAGTCCGCACTAGCGGACATTTAAAAATGGCGGCACCCGGCAACATGCCAATGAAGCCTGGGAAATTCAAATCCCGGGCTTCATTTGCAACTCCGGTTGACTACATTACCACCCTAGTTCGAACTAGGGTGGTAGTGTAGACATACTCAAAGGCATTACTGAGACCTGGTGAACTAGGGTGGTTAATGTAGTCATACGAACTTGCAAATGAAGCCCGGGATTTGAATTTCCCGGGCTTCATTTGCATGTTGCCGGTCGCCGCCATTTTTAAATGTCCGCTAGTGCGGACTCCGTGCCCGCGGCTATATGCGGCACGAACTGGATAGTTTGGATTAGGCTTCCTATTCGTGGAACGAGGCGTACAGATAGTTCGGAATAGGAAGCCTAATCCGAACTATCTAGTTCATGCCGCGTGTAGCCGCGGGCACGGAGTCCGCACTAGCGGACATTTAAAAATGGTGGCGCCCGGAAACATGCAAATGAAGCCCGGGAAATTCAAATCCCGGGCTTCATTTGCAAGTTCGTATGACTACATTAACCACCCTAGTTCGAACTAGGATGGTAGTGTAGACATACCCACAGAGACTTGTTAGGTGTGCCTTAAATCTGAACAAAAAATAGTTCAATAAACTATCTGAACCTTTGAAAAGGGGCTTGAATACTCATGTCTGGCCCAACAGGTAAATGCCGTAGAAATTCTGTTGAATGAGGAATTTGTTAAGCAATGTTTCTGGATTTACAAATTAAGTCTGTAGCATCTTTAAGAAGATTTGGTGTCACACAAGATTGCATGAGCTGAGACATAAAATCAGCATGGGGTATGCTGCTAAAAGATTAGAATCTCTGTATTTGGTAGATTTCTTTTGTGAGACATAATTCCCAAAAGAGCTGGGAATGTGTCAATTTGTATTGAAATAACCTGAAATCAAAGAAGAGGCAGCAAGAATAGTGAGCTCAATGGACCCTTGTAAATGGTCTTTGATTTGTTTGGACAAATGTATCTGAATAAGAAGAAACACAGTTTATATTCTGTGGCTTAGAAATAGCCCTTCCATAATTCTACATCTAGAACAGGGGCAAGCAAAATACGTCCTGCAGCCAGGGTCAGTTTAAACACATTAAGGATTCTCAGGGCGTGGGGAGAGGGCTATCCAATGTAATAAATAATTACTCCGTGCTGATTAGGCTTCAACTGGAGTGTTGTGCACCACGTTTCTGGAAAGATGTAGACAAATTGGAGAAGGTCCAGAGAAGAACAACATAAATGATTTAAGATCTAGAAAACATGACCTATGAGGGAATACTGAAAGAAATGGTGTCAAGTATCAGAGGGATAGCCGTGTTAGTCTGGATCTGCAAAAGTGACAAGGAGTCCTGTAGCACCTTAGGGTATGTCTACACTACCCCGCTAGTTCGAACTAGCGGGGGTAATGTAGTCATCCGCAGTTGCAAATGAAGCCCGGGATTTGAATTTCCCGGGCTTCATTTGCATGAAGCCGGCCGGCGCCATTTTTAAATGCCGGCTAGTTCGAACCCCGTGCCGCGCGGCTACACGCGGCACGGAGTAGCTAGTTCGGATTAGGCTTCTAATCCGAACTAGCTGTACTCCTCGTGGAAGCCTAATCCGAACTAGCTACTCCGTGCCGCGTGTAGCCGCGCGGCATGGGGTTCGAACCAGCTGGCATTTAAAAATGGCGCTGGCTGGCTTCATGCAAATGAAGCCCAGGAAATTCAAATCCCGGGCTTCATTTGCAACTGAGGATGACTATATTACCCCCGCTAGTTCGAACTAGCGGGGTAGTGTAGACATACCCTTATAGACTAACAGATGTATTGGAGCATAAGCTTTCGTGGGCAAAAAGTGCATCTGACGAAGTGGGTCTTTGCCCACGAAAGCTTATGTTCCAATAAATCTGTTAGTCTATAAGGTGCTATAGGACTCCTTGTCGCTTTTGAACCAGGGGCAGCTAGGTTAAGGGGACAGGCCGAGAAGGGAAAAGGTGAAGGAACAGGAGGCTGCTGTAGGGGAAGAGAATAGGAGGGGTCCAAAGACAGGCTGATGGAGAGGTGAAGAGCAGACCCATGCCAAAGATCTTGGCCTCCAGGCTGTCATATTCTTGTTGACCTCTTTACAGCTTCTGATATTAACCAGATTCTTCTTGAAATCCTGTCCGCTGTTAGCTTTTGCAATGCTGTCTTTCCCCTGCTTCCACTCCTGTTTCTCTGGCTGCCTCTGCAGTGTCTCATTTGGGACTCCTCTTCTCCCTTCCCTCTCCCTCTCTCAGTGGGGTCTCACAGAGTTCCAATTTGGCCCCCCTCCCCTTCTTTCCCTGTACCTGGTCACTGATGATCTTCTCTGGAAGTGCAGCTCTATTACCTATCTGTTGTAACCTGTCTCCTTGCATCCTAACCCCATCTTGGCCTGTCTTTCTGACGTTTCCTTCTGGGGCTGGCCACCAGCTGAAACAACATGGCTAAAAGTGAAGTTCTAGTCTATCACCCAAGTCCTTCCTTCTCCCCTCTTTATCTGTCACAGTGGGTGGCACCACCACCCTCTCATGTCACTTAGCATACATCTGCATATGCTCCCATGGCACAGCTGCACCTCCATTGCTGAACTATAGACATTTTATGACAGAAACAGAAGGGGTCTTCTGTTGCTGCCTGTCTGATTATTCAATAGCTTCAGAGGGGTAGCCGAATTAGTCTGTAACTCGAAAAACGTAACAAACAACAAATAGTCTGGTAGCACTTTAAAGACTAACAAAACATGTAGATGGTATCATGAGCTTTCATGGGCAAAACCCATTTCTTCAGATGACCGGAGTATAATGAGTCCAGATCCAAGGATAAATATTTTCATTGTTCAATTGTCACTGGTCCATGTAGAGGCTAACCGACTGCTACTGCTCCATTAACTTGATGTGCAGATGTCTGTGCTGTGGATCTAAAGGTTTCAATCCTAATTGCGATCCAGGTGGGGGTCAGCATGTTCCGTATGATGGAATTCAGGTTGTGTGGTGCTTTTGTTTTATTTTTAGTGTTCTGTTTAAAAAATAGGAATTTATATTCAAATAAACAGCATTAAAAACAGCAAGGTTGCAAAGTCAAACACTAAAAACTCAGGAAATTCCCGAATTAATGTTCTTCTCTGTGTGCGCACATTAAAATACTTTGCATAATCACATGCTATTTTTCTCTTTGGGAGCTGGGCTTCGTTCAGCTTACTTTATGGCAGTAGGAGTTGAGGTGTGCATATACTCAATCTATGCAAATGTTTTTCCTTTCCTTTAGGGGCAGATGTTCACGCGACTGATCCAAACCGTGGAATGACACCACGGGAATGGGCTTTTTACACGGGCAGAACAGAAGCAGCCTTTCTCATGCAGAGGCTGATGGACAGGCCGTGCGCTGAGCAGTTCTGCGACCAGTATACGTTAGAATGGCCAAAGATGAAGGAACTTGTTGCCAAGGCCGCAGAGCCAAAAAGCTGTTGGCAGAGGATCTTGGAGGGTGTGAGGTCGGCAATGTCATTCAGGAATTCCTGTGGCCCTGAAGAAGATGGGGTCCTTGACCACATGGTTAGGATGACTACAAGTTTAAGCAGCCCCTTTATTGCCATATCGTGCAGGACTGTGTGCCCAGGGAGCCCACCGGGTGTGGGGAAACGCAGACTGGCTGTGCAGGAAATCCTTAGGAAGCAGAGAGCCCAGGAAATCAGATCTCAGGACAAAGACCATGTTAACAGTTATGAGAAATTATTTCAGAACTCCAGAGTCATGTTGATCCCCAAAAAGAAAGACCGGCGGGCTAGTCTGCAGCCCTTCAGCCTCACGGTAGCTCACATGAACACTGTGGTCACAAGGAAAGCAAGCCTCCTGCCACTGCACCTACTGAGAAGGAGCAGCGTGAGGCCAGGATTTGTCATCCCCAAAGTCCGTGTCAACAAAGCTCCTCCACCCACCTACCAACCAGAGAAAGTGAGGAGGAAGAGCAGTGCCAAAGATGGCACTTATCTGCAGATTCCCAAATGGAGATACAAAGAGCTGAAGGAGGAGCGGAAAAAGGCAGAGGAACAAGAGAAGAGGAAAGCAACAGAGGCTCAGAAACTGAGGCGGGGGTCTCCGCAGAACAACAGGACTTGATCCAGTGGGGGGATGATGTCAGATTGTGCACATCAAAAGGGCTTCTAAACTGAATAATGGCCTTGTGGTGCTGAAAAAACACATAGGCTGTCACTGGCTGTATCTGGAGAAGTGTGAGGCTATCTTGAGGGTGAAGTGAAAAAATAATGCTTTGTTTGCCCACTGACAGAAAACGGTGGTGGTGTTTTTTCCCTGTCCAAGATTAACAGCCAAGAAACAGCTATCACTGCCTATAGGCATGAAAGGATCGTGTTTTGTGGTAATTTTATACTGGATAAAATTAAGGGCTTCTGCTTTTGATACTGGTCACTCTCCCTTCCTCTTCTGTAGGACCATATGAATTGCAATGCATTGTAATAATAATGAAAACCACTGGGAGTTTTAAGTAGGCCACAATCTCGGTACAGTAGGAGGAGGGTAATGAATCCTGAGCTATATATAATGCAGATCATTTTGAATATAGTAAGAACTTTATGATTAACATTTTAATTATGAAAACCAGAGTTTAAGACATCAAAGGTATCAAACATGTACTGTCTGAATGAATGTGATTCTTAACACTTGGTTTTATTATTTGAAGATAAAAAAATGGCTGTGTATCCAATATATACATTGTCTCAGCAGCTAAGGTGATCAGATCCCCACTTGATGTAAATCAATATGGCTCCATAAACTTCAATGGAGCTACACCTTTTTACATCAGCTGCAGATTTGCTACAATTTTGTATTATTATGGTCAACTTTAAGATTTGCTTCCTCACTTACAGATTTTCCTTCACTTGCTATTGGTTTTCTTCTCTTTAGACTCAGGGAATGTGCTACACCATCTTGTATCATTGCAATTACCTACAAAATCATCAGATGTTTGAAAGGTGTGTTCACTAAATCTAAGTTTGCCTCTTGGGGATGGTCTAGCACAGTGGTCTCCAACCTTTTTACACCCAAGATCACTTTTTAAGTCTCAGAACAGGTGAAGATCTACTGCCCCGCCCCTTCCTTGAAGCCCCGCCTACATTACATGAGGAAATCTAATGTAAATGCACTGCGCAGGTGCACAGTTTAGAGAGGGCTCAAGAGCTACTCTTGGAGCCCCTGAGATCTACCGGTAGATCGTGATCTACGGGTTGGTGACCACGGGTCTAACATATAGACAAGAAGGAACAGATAGTCTCTTCAATAATGAAATTGTCTTCTCCTATCTTCAAGAAGTATATCAAGGACAGTGAGTGCCTCTTGGGGGTATGGGACAGCTCACTCCCCAGATTTTGGAAATCCTGGGCATCTGACATAGTGCATCTGGGGTACCAAATGGGAGTGCTGTGTCTACCAACTCTACCCCTCTACATGGAA